TTCAAGCCAGAAATCACTTATAAACAGAGAGATTTTATTAAGCATGTGTTTGGAGATTCGAGTGATTCAGCTTCCAATTAGAGAAAGAGGAAAAAGGAATTGGTGGTGGAAGAGAGAGAGGCGACTTTGCTGCTTCAACGAAATAATAATAATAATAATAAATATTGTAATTAAGTTTGAGAGAAAAAAGAAATGTAGGTTTAAATTTGTATTCATTTAAAAATAATAATAATAATAATAAATATTGTAATTAAGTTTGAGAGAAAAAAGAAATGTAGGTTTAAATTTGTATTCATTTAAAAATAATAATAATAATAATAAATATTGTAATTAAGTTTGAGAGAAAAAAGAAATGTAGGTTTAAATTTGTATTCATTTAAAAATAATAATAATAATAATAAATATTGTAATTAAGTTTGAGAGAAAAAAGAAATGTAGGTTTAAATTTGTATTCATTTAAAAATAATAATAATAATAATAAATATTGTAATTAAGTTTGAGAGAAAAAAGAAATGTAGGTTTAAATTTGTATTCATTTAAAAATAATAATAATAATAATAAATATTGCATGTGGAATAGATATTTAAATATTGTGGCAGTTTTAAACTGCTGAAAATATTATCCTTTTGTAGTGAATGAATACGTACAATATTTTATTTGTGCCCAGAAATGATGATTAAAATTTTTTATTGATCAAGAAATATGTAAGCTAGTAAGAATTCCAACTTTTGTTGCAAAATTCGTCTATCAATGTTACATTTCTATATTTGTGGTTTAGGTCAATACTAAATAGTGGCTCATGTGTGCAATTTTTTTGCTGGATTGTTGATCCACCTGTTTACACAATGGCATCATGTATCTCTCTCAGTATGGTTTCCCAGGTTTTTAATTGAAAAGTCATATAAAATGATACCCTCTAAAAGGTGTATAACATCCATTATTATTTTATTCTAAAAAGTTGGTTAAACTTGTTTACATCATATGCGTCCATATAATTTGTTAGTTTTGTGCTAGTTTATGTAATTATTGGGTTTACTTGGGTTAAAAGTTTATGCATATACAACCTAGATATGATTTTCTTTGGTCTTTAGCACCCATTCGGAACAACGATGGAGAGACAAGTTTTATTTGATCTAATACAGGAAGGGGAAGTTCCACCTGTTTGGATATTGCCGAGTTTCTAGTTTTGATAATGATATCTCTATGATATCAGCTTCTCCATATTTGATCTCACCACTCCCAGATGGGAGCATGCTTTTTCATCTCATTTCACTTTTATATATGATTGTTTTCGAAAATTTGGTTGGCTTGTTTTATTTTATTTATTTATTTATTTGTTTAGCTACCATGGAGTAACTAGTCTTACATTCCCTTTTCAAGATTTGTTGGTAACTCTACTTGAATTCAACTATGTTCTACATAAAGGCTTTGATTCAGTGGTAATTATGATACATAATTGACAAGTATACCAACTGAGGTTTTAATATAAAGAGGACAAAAAGTTCAAGTTATCGATCCATATATAGAGACTTGCATTTATGGTTATTTAATATAAATATGATACTAAATAGATAAATTAATAAGTAACTGAATTGAATTTCATAAAAGAATATTTAATTGTAAGAATTTAAAGAAAATAAATTGGGTGAAATTAATATATAATAAAGGTAGTAAGAGATTGATTCACTTTTTGCTATGTAAATTTCTATAAGTTTTCTATTCAATTTGTAATTAAACAGTTAATTCAACAGCCCACACCTGTATTTAAACCTTAATCTCTTTGATGAAAAATTCTAGGTTGTTTAAGAAAAATCTCAATTCCTTAATAATCTTGCATTGATTAAGGTCGAAGGCTAAAAGTTGACGAATGAAATTTATCCCAATTTCTTGGTAATGAAATTCATCGGTGTTTTCTCCATATCTTAATTTTAAAAGGGATTTTTGACCTTAATTATTTCTAATAAATCATGCATTGGGTGATAAAAAAAAGCATTAAGAGTAGAAGAAAAACAATTAACTGAATAATACTTTTATTGAATAAAAAAATTGAAATTACATAGTTTTAATAGTTATCTCAATACCTAACAATAGGGAACTTAGTAGTTCATAACTAAGGATTATAGCTCTAGATAAATCTTTGAGTACTCCGTGATTCTCGAATTGATCTCATAAAAACCTCTCTAATATCTCTAGAATTATACTAAAAAAAATGTATTACAATATAAACCCAATTCAAAAGACCTATAAAAACCCAGATTTTATAATAATTCTTGATGCACTTTTTGGGTTGAGTTCAATTGCTCAAAGTGTCCATATTACCCATTTTGAATGACCAAGTGAATATATCTAGGGGTATTCTCTATCTTCAATTGCTCCGAATGAATTTGTGGAAGATCTAAGCATGTATACTTTGCTCAAATGGTGCCCATATAGATTTCAATCTAGATTATATTCTTGCAATGTTGAAATGCCTTTCTTCATCATAAGTGTTTCCTTATATTACTTATTAACATGCATGTCCTGTGTAACATCTTATTTTTTAAAAAATAAATAATAATTGTTAGAATAATTAAAAAATATAAAATGAATATTTTATTAATAAAAATAAAAGGAGAAAGCTAATTAGAAGATTTTCGATTAGACTCTAGCCTCATCCAAAGACTAATTCAAAAGAGGAAATAGAAAAGGGGTTAGGTCATTTTATGCTTATTCTAAAAAACCTAGAGTAGGCAACATGATGAGACTAAGAGGAGACCATTGAGGGAGACATAGATTAGCAACTAGAGCAACTAGGAAAACATCATTCCACAAGATCATCATTCCAGGTAGGAGAGAATAAAATTATTAATTTCATGGGCATATATGAGAGATAAGGATTAGGAGCAACCCTAAGCTCCGTAGGCTATATGTTTAAGTAGTGTTGTGTGTATGAATACCTTGGTGACTTTGTTGATACTCTAATGATGACTTTGGTATGATGTTCTATTTTATCCACTTGAATGATGTGTTTATATATTCGAAGGTTAGGGTTGTTATATATATTAATTAGAGGAATTGAGTTAAATTGAATTAATCATGATTGTTAAATCAAAAATATTGTCTTTAAGAAAACAAATGAACCTTTAAGTTTTAATGTTAACAAATAAAATATTTTTTTTAAATAAAAGTCAACATTCTTAAAAAAAAAAAAAAAGAATAGATTAGACGAAATGAGAAGATAATACATATCATTTGTAAGATGAAAGAAATTAGATGAAGCATATAGTCCGTCTGACAGCATTAAATGAACATTGTTATATGAAACTGACATTACACTTCATTTAATGCGTTATTCCTTAGCAGATTGAACGAAAAAAGCTTTGAAGGTCTCGAAGAGCATTAATGAGCAAAAAGATAAAATCTCAGTGAAAAGTCAAAAACAACAATCCCAAATATCATGGAAAAGAGACTAAAAAGGACTACTCTACACCAGCCCCAACTTCTCTATGCTGACACTCACTACTACAAGATGCATTATCTAAATCAGTTTTGTGAAGTAATCTATATCGGTTCTAAGACCGATGTAGAATAGAGCGACTTAGAAAATGTATACAATTTTACATCGATTTTGAAACTGATGTAGATTATGTGTATTCTACATCGGTTTTTTAAATAACTGATATAGATTTATGTATAAATTTACATCGGTTCTCAGAAAAACTAATGTAGTTTTATACATAAATCTACATCAGTTCTTTAAAAAATCGATGTAAATTACATTTTTTTTTTAAAAAAAAAGCATGCTTGTTTTTAGATTCTTTCTACATTAATATTACTTGTAGGGCATATTTTGTTTCCCATAAATAAGATATATGTGCCTATAAACTATATATAATTACTAATTATTACATTGTGATTCTCCACAATTTGCATAAAGAAAAAAATTACAACACTTCAACCAACAATCTTCATTTTAAAAACTAGTTATATATATAATTTTTAGTTCTAGCCAGCATATCAAAGATTCGCTTATATGCATCAATGATAAATAGAACCATAACATTATCACCAAATCTTTTATGGTATTCACAACTTGATCTTAGTCCTTCCATACAAAAAATCTAAGTATTATGCTGATTTATATATAACGTGTTCAAGAAGTTTCGCATAAATAAATTGAAAACAATTTGATATTGTATCTTCATACTAATATTTTCTCACACCAATAAATGTACCGGGAGTTGAAAGGTTATGTATTAATTTTGAAACCTTAGAAGAGTCTTTCTACACAAGCCTTGTAGCATATCATACATAGGAAGAAAGCATCAAAACATTTTATTAGCAAAGTATTCTCTAAAACCAAGTGCTGCAAGGCATTCTAAAACAATGGGATTCTAAATGACACAACACCTTAAACAACTTGATCCTGACTAGAACATTAAAAAACTTTGAAACTAAATCTTTTACAATTCCTCCAAAGCAACATGAAAGATGGAATACATTATGTTGAAACTGGTAAACAACTTCAGTTGTCATCCATATTGTCACACCTAATGAAAGAAAGAAAGGAAAAGAGTTAATACCTTGTATGGAAATTACTTAAACTAATAATAAAAGAACTACAAAGTATTAAAAGGTATATTTAAATGTCAAAATCCTTATTGTCAAAATTCAAATGTATTTTACTTGGCCAAACGTAAACAAATGCATAAATTTATATTTTGTCATTTGCTTCAATGATAAATATTGTATGTCACCGTATGTCAAAATCCTATAATTTCATGTGTTCATTATTTTTCTTTTCTCAAGCCAGTAGACTATTTTGGCTTTTAATTTTTAGCAAAATGCATCAATAGACATGAGGATTAACCAAAAATTTAAAATAAATAATGCTCATGATATGAAGGATGAGGAAATTAATTTGTTACAAGTCTGTAAGTTTTCTAACTTCATTACAAAGCAATACCTCTACCTCTCTGCAATGAAGCAGCAAGATGATTTGTTAATTCAATCTTTCGGTTCTATGGTGCTTGCTGCAACTCTCTGTGTGGTTTCATCATGTGAGTTCTTAAGCTGTCTAATCAAGGACGTAAGTCCACCTACTTCTACAATCTTCTGATTTTTTTCTGCAACATCAGGGTTGATAAATGTTATGGCTAATTTTTTAATAATATCAATTGGCAAGAAACCTATAAATAATCTGCAGAAACATGATGCGTTTATAAGTTATTACTTGAGAAGGGTGAAGCAATTAACTTCCATGATACTATCCTCAGTTTCACTTAAACATTGTTAATAGCCAAAAGCCAAGTGTGAGCTAGCAGTAGCAGGTTAGTGGTGAAGGTTTTGTGTAGTGTGAAGGAACTATAGTTTACATCTCTGTGTCATCACACAGTAGAAGAAAATGTACATTATGTCTCTATGGCTTGGACTACCATTTGCATAAATATTATTTCAAAACAAAACACTGATATGCTTAGCGCAAAGTGAATTGAAGATATTAATAATGATAATATAGTTTACCAACTTCTCCCCTCTTAAACTTTTTCAATCAAGTAACAAAAATCACCATGTAATTTGTAGTAGCTTAAAAAATATTTAATCACTCGATTATAATCAAAACTAGTAACGAAAATAGTATTTCCCTTTAAGAAAACATAAATTAAAGCCAATTAATAAAACATAAAATGTTGCCAAAAAAACTTGATAACTAATCCTAAAGTGGCAAGGAAAATTAACAAGACTAGCAAGTTAGATTTTTTGTTCCTTAATCCTTCCAAATGAATTGATGTTCAACGCTGTTGTGAAAAGTAGTTTTGCTATTGTAATTAGCATAAGACAACACACGGTATAATAAAAATTACTACCTTTCTAGTAGAAGTCATGCAAAAATCCTCATTTTCTTTTTATTGTCCATCACCTTCTCTTCAAGCTAAGCCTCTTAAATGATTCTTTATAGTTTTTCCGATAAACCAGCTGCTTAAGTGCCACAAGAGCAACAATGAGAGCAAATTTCAGCTAAACAAAAATCACAACAGCAAAAAAAAAAAAAAAAAATAGGCATGTCAGAATCACATAGAACTTTCAACTTCAACAAGTTTGAAATATGATGGTGCTACTGATGGAGGAACTTTTGTGTCTCAAGCCTCCAACATATTGTTTCTTGCTTGATCATGCTATGACAAGATTCTATATATGTTTTTTTATTCTGGATGTTATAGTAATTACTATATATATATATTATGTTAATTTCAGGTTGATACAAAATAAATTTTTTATTTTGAATATGATACTAAATATGATTGAGGGAGTTGCTTTTAATTCACAAGTAATATGGTTGTTAATGTAATGGTATGTCTTGATGAAAATTGATACTAAATATCAGCTTAACTTTTTGTTTCATTTATGCTTAATGCAAATAGAAGTAGGAATTGAAGATTGCTTACACATAGAGTTTGAGTATGGTAAAAGCAAATGAGTTTGAAATAGATCATGATTAAATATACTTTTTCAATGCTCTTAAAGAAGATTAGTTCATATTCATACCTTCTAAAAAATTATATATAAATCTAAAATAAACTATTCTTATCAATGCAGAACAAGGTTAATAAATTGCACTAGTTCCCCACAATTGATAGAATCCACGTGCCAACAATAACCTATCATAACATTTAAAGGTATGAGCATTGGCCCCCAAAAACAAAACTACAAGTAATATAATCAAAAATGTGACAGACTAGAGTAAGTAGGTGGTACTCAACTCAAAATAGATCCATACAACAATGGCTTCACCAAGTACACCACCATATATCTTCGTGTTCCTCCGCAATAGCACATCAATAGCTGCAATTTAAGATTAAAACTTACATTACATCAAACCCTACTTTTCCAACATTGACATCGAACTCTTTAAAAACCTTAACAAAGGGATTTCCTAATAAATAAAGAAAAAAATAGAGATTTCCTGAGGCATAATAGCCACACCGACAAACAAAGGGCTTTATTGAGTTTACCTTTCACTAACTTTGGTCGTTCGTCAAAGAGGGCTTGAGCACAAGTTGATCAATGTTCGTCGATGAGGGTTTCGATAATGCAACGATCATCACAACATGGGTAGTGTGATGATCGGTGAGGGTTTGAGAAGATCGATGTACGTGCTTCTTGGGTAGTGCGCGAGAGTCTTCCTGGGTAGTGCGCGAGAGTGCTTGGTAGTGTGATGAGGGTTTTGCCAAAGAGAACTTGAGCCCAAACTGATCAATGTGCTTCTTGGATTTTTGTTCGTCGATGAGGGTTTCCATAGTGCGATGATTGTCGACGGCTTGAGTAAATGGTGAGGGTTTAAGAAGAGCGTGCTTCTTGGCTGTGTGCAATCAATGATGTACCTGCTTCCTGGGTAGTGTGTGCACGAGAGTGATAATGTGCAAGAGGAGTACTTAAGAACTTAATTGTACATCAATTTCTCACTAAACCGATTTAGAATATTTGATATTTACATCATTTTTTTGTATAACCGATGTAAACATTCTTTCATTTTCCACTTATTTATATAATTTCCATGACATTTTTCTTTTACATCATTTTTTGGAGAACCGATGTAGATAAGGCGATGTTGAACAGTGACTTTCTAGTAATGACTCTCTATTGCACTAAAAAGTTGATGGAAATGATGATAAGTAGCTACCTGGATCAGATAAGAGGTAAACGCATCCTGATAAATATTAAATGCTAACATTAAATGCATCAACAATACTCTCTAAGATTAGCTAGGAATATGAATGTATATTAAATGCTAACATATGAAGAAATATGAATGTTGAAATTTGAACATTGTTGCAACAGTTATCTTCTCAATGTTATATAAGGATCAAGTCTTCAAACTACAAGTGTGATAGCATATACATATACGAAGAAAAACATTATAAAATAACAATATTCTTTAAGTAGTTTACCTTAACCAAGTATGCTGAGTTCAAGCTGAAGCACTACAAAGAAGATCTCATTTGCAAGTCTTGTATCTAGTTCTTTGTAGCCTTTTTATGTTTTATTTTCATAGCAATCATGTCTATAAGAGACAAAGCTATACTTGTAACTCTTGTCAAATTTATTTGTAAGGGTTGAGCTTAAAGAGGCTTGTGCAATAGAATATTTAGTGTTGAACCTGAAGAGACTTGTTTAAAGAATACTTGGGTTTGAACCTAAAAAGGCTTAGTGAAAGAATACTTGGTTTTGAGCTTGGAGAGGCATGATGTAAGAATACTTGGGTTTAGGGTTTGCAAGTCTTGTATCTAGTTCTTTGTAGCCTTTTTATGTTGTATTTTCATAGAAATCATGTCTAGAAGAGACAAAGATATACTTGTAACTCTTGTCAAATTTATTTGTAAGGGTTGAGCTTAGAAAGGCTTGTGCAAAAGAATATTTAGTGTTGAACTTGAAGAGACTTGTTTAAAGAATACTTGGATTTGAACCTAGATAGGCTTAGTGAAAGAATAATTGAGTTTGAGCCTAGAGAGGCTTGATGAAAGAACACTTGGGTTTAAACCTTCCAACACTTCATCTTTTTGTATTTTTCATTATTGTACTGCTAAAGTGCGAGTTTTTTATATATATTATTCAACCCCCTTCTAGTGTGTATCTTTCTCTCTATCAATGATAAATTGATGTTATAATGATGCCTATTGATTGTGGTTCAATTAATTGACCAATTTGGATTATGTATAGAAGTATTGTATGTGTAACTGTATTATGGAGGAAGAAGAGTGGTGATATCGTGATTCTATGAACTCTAGAACTTGCGACTACGTCGAGCATGAAGATGCTCATGTCGGGCATGGGATTGCAAAAGAGGTTCTCAACATCTCAACGTTGAAGTTAGCGAAACACACAGAAGGGAGGGTTGAATGTGTGTGTACGAAGGAGTTTTAAAACCTTTTGCAAAGAGACTTTTTTTCATTTAATAAAAATATTACTTTGTACACTTAAAACTTGTGCAAGGTAGGCTTAGAGAAAGATTTTTCCGTCTGAAAGTTTATCGTCTGCATAAAGAGAAGGTTTCTCATAAAGAAAATGTTTCTTAAGATAATGAGTTGAACAAGTTTATTTTTCGTCTAAAAATAGTTTTAGTAAAAAGGTTTTAACAATGGACGAAATTTTTCAATATGATATATGAGCTAGACAAAAATTACGTCCGAAGAAAAGATAAGATGTGCAAAGATTTTATACTAGTTCGCTTGACTTGAGCTACGTTCAGTCTCCTTCAACTGAAGGGTTCCATTAATTACAACAGATTACAAGTATTATCAACCACTTCTGATTCGTCAACTTCACTCGTCAATGCTAGTATTCTTAAACCACTTCTAATTCCCCGAGTAATCTCAACCACTCCTGGTTCTTCAAGTTCACTCATCAACGCTAGTATTCTTAAACCACTTCTGGTTCCCCGAGTATTCTCAACCACTCCTAGTTCTACAAGTTTTATTTCAAATAGCCTTTTCAGGCTTTACAATAGATGAATGGTTTGAGTGTGTGTATAACTCTCACATAGAGAATATGATAGTTTCTACACTCGCTAAGGGATCCAACCTTAGTTTTACAAGGATGTGTATTATGACTGTGTGTGTTACTCTCACAAAGAGAATAGGATAGTTTCAGCACTCACTAAGATAAGCTATCTCAGATTTACACAGATATACAAGATTGTACAGAGACGAAAGTTTGCTTTAACATTCGTTTTTCTCGTTGCTTCACTTCTCTGCTACTTCTCTTGATTGGTCTTGATATTTATAACCTTGTGATAAATCTGCCCGTTGTTTGAATTTCAAAGTGTCCATTGGCACAGAGTTTCCAATTGGTGCAGATAGTAGTTTATCCAAGGCTATGTAGATCTTTCAATTAATGCATTTGATCTTGCATTAAATGTTTACTTGTCGAATCTATGTTACATGAAGTCTTTTGCGTAATTTGTTCACTTTTATGTCTGACTTCAATCATATTCTAGGTATATTTGTTATCTTTTCATCATTATAGCTGCAAAGACGTTGTCTTTTTTCTGAAAGGTAGGTATACTTTCTCTGACACATGCAACTTTTACTTGTGAATTCGTGCTTGTCTATTTTTCTTCTTTCTTCTCACACTTTTGATGACTTTGTATTTTCTTCTATGAGTCTAGATGATATATGATGTATTTCATTGTGAATACTAGACTTTTTACGCTTTTCAATATTCTTCGTCTGTGTCTAGAATTTGAGTCTTCGTCTAAGAGGTAGACTTTGACTTTTGCTTTCGTCTGGTTTGACCTTTTCTTTTGTTTGGATTGACTTTTCCTTTCATTTGGTTAGTTGTGAAGATGGAAGACTTTAATTTTGTATGGAATGTTTCTTCGTCTTGTGTTTTCCATCATCTGATACTTTGATGACCTATGGTTAGTAGTATGTCTTGTCTTGTATGTGTTGTGTTTTCGTCCATCTTTTGATCGTCTAATGTTTTGTATAGATCAATCAGGCTTCATTTGGTTTGATCATAGTATGTGTAACAACACGTACTTCATTCTTTAGATTTTTCTGTTCTTATATTTATCTGAAGCACTAGCACACATGTTAAAAATAATAATGTGTCTTATATTTGTCATGTTCAAAAACTTTGTTGGAAATTTCTTCGTTTGACTTAACAATCTCCCCCTTTTTTGATGATGACAAATATAATCTATAAATTTGTTTAAGATACAATGTAACATGCATATAGGTTTAGGCATATCGGATGGTTTATTAAGTTGATGCATTACATGTCATACAATTTGAGCAATCACTAAGCATTTAAGGGTTTAGGGTTCTAAGGTTCTCCCAATCACTAAGCATTTAAGGGTTTACGGTTCTAAGGTTCTCCTCCTTAGTATATGATCTCCCCTTTAGTATATGTTATCCCCTTCACTTGATTATCCTTTAGATGGATTTGATAGACCTTTTCCTACTTCTCCCCCTTTGTAATCATCAAAAAGAAATAGGGTTTGTACATATCAAGTATTTTATTGGCCACCTACCAGATCCATTCTTAGCCTATCTTTTAGCTAGATGTATCTATCTTCTTGAAGGGGCTTGGTAAAGATATCTGCTAGTTGTTCTTCATTGGTTTTGCATCTTCCATCTTATACTTTTTCAACAGCTCTTTTGTATATTTTATTTGATGAATTTTAATCCCTTCGTCTCACTGCTGGATGATTTGAAGTCCTAGGAAGAACTTCAATTCTCCCATCATACTCATTTCAAATTCATCTTGCATAAGCTTGGAAAACTCTTGGCAGAGATTTTTGTTAGTAGCACCAAATATTATTTCATCTACATAGATTTGAACAATTATGAAATCATCTTTTAGTTCTTTTCTAAACAAGGTGCTATCAATTTTTCCTCTTATAAACTTGTAATTACTTCTTAGAAAAGAGCTTAATTTATCGTACCACGCTCATGGTGCCTGTTTTAGTCCATATAGAGCTTTGTTTAATTTGAAAACATGTGATGGTAGTAAATCATTTTCAAAACCAAGGGGTTGGCTTATGTAAACTTCTTCTGAAATTGTTCCGTTTAAAAAAGTACTTTTGACATTCATTTGATATAATTTCATGCTGGTACATGTAACAAATGCAAGTAATATTCTAATAGACTCTATCCTAATGGTGCAAAAGTTTCAGTAAATTCAATACCTTCTTGTTATGAGTACCCTTTTGTAACTAACCTTGCTTTGTTCCTTGTGACATTTCCTGATTTTTCCAGTTTGTTTTGGTACACCCATTTTGTATCAATGATCGCTCTATCGTTTGGCGCTTGAACGAGTTTCCAGACGTCATTCTTCTGGAATTGGGTGAGTTCTTCTTGCATGGCTTGAACCTAGCTATCATTTGACAATGCTTCGTCTGCTATTTTTGGTTCAACTTGAGACAGCAATGTAGTCTGTGCCTGTTTTAAATGAGCTCCTAGTTCTTACTACATCCTTTGCTTCACCAATAATATGCTTTTGTGGATGATGATTTTTCATCTGCCAGTTTTGATTGACTAGCTCTCTTTCCTCTCTTTCATCTTGTTCAACTATATTTTCTTCATACTCATTCTTTTTCGACTGATCTTTGTTCACCTGCATGTTCTCAAAGAAGTTTCCTAGCTCTGATATTTCTTTATCAAGCTTATTTTCATCAGATTTTATGTGAATAGCTTCCTCAACAGTTCTGGTTCTGTTGTTGAGGATTCTATAGGCTCTTGACCTTTCATAGTATCCAAGTAGAATACCCTCGTCAATTTTTGAGTCAAATTTTCCTAAATTATATTTTGTGTTTAAAATGAAGCATTTTCATCCAAAAGGATGAAAGTAAGAAATGTAAG